ACCGAATCTAAATAAACAGAGAACTACTTTCAATGGATGTCTGATCTCAAACATAGTGTATTTCGTTCTACATTAGCGAATTTAGCGTCTCAAGGTTTCGTTCCTCGTTGAGTTCTCAGCTGTTGTGTGTTAGGAAATATAGCTCTTGTTATTTCACCTTCTGAGTTTTTCTAACAGGTATTTCGGAAAAACGTGATTTAGTTGTTTACCTGTTATGCGAGGCCACTCGGAGTTATGTACGAAGCTAACCTATCAACTTGTGATGGTATTTATTTAAACGACCTACTGTAAATAATAATTATCACACGATGGTGTACTCTTCGACCCGATGTTAATAACGCATGTCTGGGGCTGCTCTGCTCTCAAGGAAACCCAGATCATGTCTTACAGTTGTAGCCAGACCCAAGATGATCTTTTCACGTCAAACCACCAATAGAGCGTGTAATGAATTTCTTGCTTCAGTCTCTTCCAAACAGTCTCGCAGACTGCTCGTATTCGTCCGATCTTTCCTGAATGTAAAAGGTTCTTGGTGAATTCATCATCTATGTAGCCCATCAGACATGGGAATCAAGCAATGCTTGGTGTGTGTGTGTGTGTGTGTGTGTGTGTGTGTGTGTGTGTGTGAAATTAAAAATGTACTTAAATTGAGTGTTACTTAGCCTTTGCCCCTTTTCTCAGAAGGCAAGTTCCAAAATCCATACGAACAATGAAGAATTCGTATTGGTACAGAAAGATACACCCATGGTTATAATCTGGACCTGCGCGGATCTTATATAATGAGACATTCCACTCCTAACACACCCCGCACCCCTACCCACACAAACACCTCTCCCTAACCTTATAGAGGTTATGAATCGCCCTTCAGTTATACAACATGTTTACTTCTTTCAAGTCGCAACGGTATTACAGCTAAACTGACGTACAAAAGAAAGTACACACCTGATGCTTTTGTAAAATGTTTTCCTAAAAACAGCGTAATATAAGTGTTCTGATTGTGATTCACAAGCATTGTGTACGTGTTGCAATAACACCATAGATACCGTACCCAATTGGAAAATTGCTAGCAAAATGTTTACTTTTTTACATAGTCTCAAAACAGCAGGTGTGTACTTTCTTTTGTACATCAGTATATGTGAATCCAGCTTTTAAACGTGATTCTATCCGAAACAACCCAGTGACTAACATTATGAGCACCGATCCATCTTTAGGATGCAGGGCAACGAACAAAGTCACCCATCGTGACCACTCGATCCACAAGGTGGCTTCTGACTTTAGGGGAGTGGTGGGGTTGAATGGTTAAAGCGCCCGCTCATCACGCTTAAGAACCGGGTTCGATTCCCCACATGGGTACATTGTTTGAAGCCAATTTCTGGTTCCCCCGACGTGATATTGCTGGAATATTGCTAAAAGTGGCGTAAAAACCATTCACTCTGACTTTTGGTATATGTTTCCCGGAACCCTTAACCGGAATGCACCGGTGAATAACACAACCCACAAACTAAGCACCTGCCACAGCAAAGAAAACTTTTTGAGTTATTAATGGTATCGGTTGGCATGATTTTATCAGCATAATCAGGATAAGATTAAAGAGATAACTACATATAGAATCCTTTGTTTTAAGTTCCCGGTAAATACCACTCCCTCGTATCGATATCCTTTGCACAACACGCACATTATATAAATATACCTACCCGCGCCTATACGGTAGGAGTGTTGGCATGCTACGTACTGAGGGAGATAGTGATCATATCCCTCGGCCTTGACGTTGTCTATTTGTTTGAGATAAATAGTCAGTTAAACCAGACTCATGACTGGAAGCCACTACGAGGTGTCCAGACCCGCTGATTTACACTGCTCCTCTTGGCCACGACTGTTGGGAGATTGGCACGAGAAGTGAGACGCGTAAATTGCTCCGTGCCCTATGTGTGTTCTAATTACAACAATTTCCTCTTGGCTATACCCAATTGCTTCATGGTAATCAGAGCAGATGAAGACTACAAATCTCAAACCAGATTAGATCGGGGCTCGGTGGAACCTTGGTTCATTCATTAAAGGTTAAATGCTGCACTATTGTAGGATCATGACGTCAGTTGGCGTGTCGTGATTAACACTAGGTTGAAGAGGGTCACCAGCAAGTTGAAAAACCAGAAGCATAAATTCCAATGCGTATGATCCTATCAACACCGTTATCTCCCTTTTAATCCTTTTTCGTGCAACGTCATGACGTTCTGGATAGTAACTGCAGAGCCTTATCTCTGACGGTAAACATTAAGACATTCTAACGACGGATGTTGATGGCAGTATCATGTCATTAGTCGTGTCAGTATTATATCATGGACTTAAAGGAAATATTACCAGCAACTACAAATTATGGTAATCAGAACAGTATTGTTCTGCTGTCATTTCATCATGGCGACCATTGAAATTTGCGTCAAGATAAACAAGATGAGTACGTTCCGTCCGTCGCATGTCATACACAAATTGAAACCATCATTTTAAAGTGGTGCAACACATTCTCCTTTCTTCGTATGACGGGTTAAATTATTAAATTACCGACCAGGGCCTCGTTTCACAAAGCTCTCGTAAGCCTAAGATCTCGTAACTTTTCTCGTAGCAGTCGTACCTCCTATGCTGTAGCATATGAGGTACTAATGCTACGAGAAAAGTTACGAGATCTTAGGCTTACGAGAGCTTTGTGAAACGGGGCCCTGAACGTATCTCTGAAATGTGTTCATATAATAGTTATGATGACCTTGTGGTAAAAGCATTCACTCAGTACCTCGAAGTCCACGGACGTATGAATCATTGCATTGCGATACCGGCAGTTGTAATACTGGAATACCTGATGATGGACTAAAATCGCGCTGACAAATAAATGTTTAATGTCTGTGAAACGCGACTGTTGATGACATGCTCGTCATTTATCATTTCAATGTTGTTGTTTGGGGATGTTGGGGATTTTTTGTTTAGCGCCGCACGCAACAATATTCTGTAAATAATCTAGTCAGGACCATACAATCCTATCAATACCATTAAGGGTGTCGATTTACGCAGTTGGGATACGATGACATGTGTCAACCAAGTCAGGGAGCCTGATCACTCGATCCCGGTAGTCACCTCTTACGTCAAGCATGGGTTGCTAAAGACCAACTCTAACCCGGATGTTCACGGAGATCATTATCCACCCCTTGAGTGTGTACCCCGAGTAATGAAAGTCACTTGATTGGTTTGGATAAATATTATCTTCGATGCATTGGATGAGCTCGGCCCCTGTCAAAATAAGGACTTTAATATATGCTACTTGTTACTACCCTGCCTTTTGCATCAAGGGGATAAAACAGTGAATGTCGGTTCGGAGTGTGTATTCATGTCCAACTGGTATCTCAGTGGGCTGTAAAACTACCTTATTCCCGACTAGTACAAGCGGCCACACACGTCGATATATAAGTGCTATGATCTTGAACGGGACCTTACATATAACAAGTCAACACTAGAGAACAATGCGTTACGATTAAATGCCAAAACAGATTCCAGTGGTCGTCAATAGGCAAGCTGTTAATAACAAATGGACATGGAAATCATGGAAAATCAGTATAGAGTTCCCTAAAAGTTTGACCATGTTCTTTTCTTAACCTTCTTCGTCATCTCTAATGTTCTTTCGTTTCACTCCATAAAGTGTGCCATATACGACTAATTATTCGAATTCGAACGCGGCAACAATTAAATGTATCATACCCAGATCGGTCTAAGGATATTGAACATCAAAGTAATAAACTTTAAGTGGCTGTTTTGGATTCTGGGGCAGTGACTTAGCCTAATGGTTTGAACCGTGACACCAAAGGTCTGAGTTCGATTCCCCAGATGGGTACAACGTGTGAACCACACGTTTGTGTTCCTGAGGTCGTATACCTAAACTCATAGTGACATATTCACTCACCACAAAACATGGGCTGTAAAACTACCTTATTCCCGACTAGTACAAGCGGGTAAACTGAAACAAGTATTTTAGAATGTTTAAGTCAAAATAGGTGCTATATGTTGACATATAGGATGGTCGATGTTTTTTTCATGTCGATCTATTACTGATTTCACTGAGAAGACAAACCATTTTATGCATGTTTTACAAGCGATCGCTAAATCAAACACGAGGAATCTCAAGACACTGTATCGAACGGTCCAATAGAAAAGACAGTTTCAATACTCTTATTTCCAGCTGGGAGATTTATTCCTGATTTCAGTACATTTTTATTGAAGTAATGCTATTTATGGGAATGAACGCGAGAGTTAATTCGTTTAATGCCTTTGTCGTCCGCTAGGTGGCGATTAGTTCTCCGCGCGCTTGGGGCTGGTTTATGTTGGATCCAAAATGTCAACGGCTAAAGAAATTAAGGAATGTCACAAAACGCGCAGAGTCTTTGATTATCTAAATATCACATTTAACGAAATCAATTGTAGCGCTATATTGGTTTAGCCCATGTCTACAGACCGTCTTGAGACCGTAGATAAAGCTGGCTGTGATGTAATAATTACGTGTGAAGCCCGCAGTTGAAAATGTCAATATCTAATCTGTCTCGATATTCTAATAATTGACAGTACGCGTCATTCGTCTCTTTGAATGGACAGATATCACACGGAACCACAGAACAATTGGGTAACCCTAATGATATTAGTCACCATTACAATGAAGTCTTAAAACGTGTTCTACAGAACATATGCACATTATGAAACTCACAGTGTGGAGGAAGAGCGAAGGGCCTGCGAGGAAAAGCGAAGGGTCTGCAGCCAGGAACAGCATCCCAGCATCCACACCTCCTTTATTAATCAATACGACACCTGGATTCAAAAACGTAAGTTCGGGTTGGTTACCTCGGGAAAGGCTGCTTCATATCAATACATTGTAATCGTCCGTCGATGTTGCAGGTATTGATTCATACAGCATAGCGCCACGCTTCGAACCCGGGTTCCGTATTGTCTCCGATATCTCCAACTTCCTGTCACGTGACTAAATGGCTGTGCCAAGCAACATGAAAACTAAGACTGGCTTCTCGGCGGTTTACGAGAAGCGCGGTAGATGCCTGCTCTCTTAACGATGGCATTAGCCCGATACAGTCGAGTTTGATGAGAGACGTATTGGCAGACGCAATTATGTGTCCGATTCTTGGCTTGTGAGCTTAAAAACAATAGTAATCACTGCAATCTGTCTACTATCAGGGACAGTTACGAAAGTGTTATTGAAAGTTTCCGGACACGGCATTGATCAAAGTGGTTTAGTGGAGACAGCAAGGGACTGATCTGGACACAGCGTCTCGTCCGTGAATCTTAACAGTCTACCTTAACTCACCCGCTCAGTGGACAAGTTGGGGGAACACGGACTCGGTATTCTGCTTGTAGCGGGATTAAGGCAGGCTTTCATTCACTGGAGTCGATGTAGACGTCTTTGGTATTCGACTGGCGCGTTGCAGCTGTTGACTGACAGGTGAGATATACCACTCTGGCTCCTCGGAAATGGGTTGAGAATGTCTGAATACGTTTCATGCAAATGCTCTGATGATAATGAGAAATATATATGCATCAGGGCTTGTAAGTTGTCACCGTGTTCTCTGCTAATGGACTTTACACAATGATGCATTGATCATCGTTCAAATCTGCGTTAGACCGTTTTTCTCTGTATGCTAATATAATAAGCTCATTTACTTATATATTCAAATTATTGGCCTGTAGTCGAGACATGGAACTTATTTAGAACAACTTTTGTAATGCTGTCAAACTTAATTCAGTGGATTAACAAATCTGCCAATACATCGAATATCGTATGCAGCAATCACCTTCAAACCAAGAAGCAATATCGCATATGAACAGTCTTTTTTGTTTTAGGCAGTTTTAAAACTTATTACTAATATCAATCAGTCAATCGCTGATTGAAACTTGATTGATCGATATTATAGTAGTAGTTTGTATGATGTACCGCACAATTTATTATTGGAAGTAATTCTTTTCAAGCGGAACAGTTTATTTTGGTAACACCCCATTCCATGCATGTACGTGATTTAATAGATTCAGCGGGAGATGCTGTGACAATGCACTGTTATTCTCATACAATGCCTGTTAGTGACAATGAACAACGTGACTGGACTAAAGCTCAGCCTTGTGGTGATCATACTCTGCGGTGTGCAAGTACGTGACTTGCTTAAAGCAAAACCAGAGTGGTGACAATACCTTGTGTGTTGTTGATTATAATACCCGCCATCAGGTGATATTGTACCGCGGTATGCGTGTGTGTGTGCATGTGACAGAGGGTGATAATTACTAGTACTTCAGGCAGCGCCATGATAATACACGTACGTGTATTCGTGGCTACGTATGATTCGTGATTGTATCTATGTCGCCTAGCTAACTGTATGTATTGATATGTATGGCTTGACTGTATGTGTGTGGTTTGACTATGCATGTTGTTTACTTGTATGTGACTTGACTCTATACATGCCTTGATTGTATGCATGTCGTTTTCAGAATCTGTGTGGCTCGATTGTATGCCTGTCGTTTCAGTATTTTGTGGCTTTAACTGTATGTATTGATAGGTATGGCTTGACTGTACGTGTGTGATTTGACTTTGCATGTTGTTTACTTGTATGTGACTTGACTCTATACATGTACATACCTTGATTGTATGCCTGTCGTTTCAGTATTTGTGTGCCTTGATTGTATGCATGTCGTTTTCAGAATTTGTGTGGGTTGATTGTATGTCTGTCGTTTCAGTATTTGTGTGGCTTGATTGTATGCCTGTCGTTTCAGTATTTGTGGGCTTGATTGTATGCATGTCGTTTCAGTATTTGTGCGGCTTGATTGTATGCCTGTCGTTTCAGTATTTGTGCGGCTTGGCTGTATGCCTGTCGTTTCAGTATTTGTGGGCTTGATTGTATGCCTGTCGTTTCAGTATCTGTGTGGCTTGATTGTATGTATGTCGTTTTCAGAATTTGTGGGCTTGATTGTATGCATGTCGTTTCAGTATTTTTGTCTGATTGTATGCATGTCGTTTCAGTATGTGTGCGCCTTGATTGTATGCCTGTCGTTTCAGTATTTGTGCGGCTTGGCTGTATGCCTGTCGTTTCAGTATTTGTGTGGCTTGATTGTATGCCTGTCGTTTCAGTATCTGTGTGGCTTGATTGTATGTATGTCGTTTTCAGAATTTGTGGGCTTGATTGTATGCATGTCGTTTCAGTATTTGTGGGCTTGATTGTATGCATGTCGTTTCAGTATTTGTGCGGCTTGATTGTATGCCTGTCGTTTCAGTATTTGTGTGCTTTGATTGTATGTCTGTCGTTTCAGTATTTGTGGGCTTGATTCTATGCCTGTCGTTTCAGTATTTGTGCGGCTTGGTTGTATGCCTGTCGTTTCAGTATTTGTGTGGCTTGATTGTATGCCTGTCGTTTCAGTATTTGTGTGGCTTGATTGTATGCCTGTCGTTTCAGTATTTGTGTGGCTTGATTGTATGCCTGTCGTTTCAGTATTTGTGCGGCTTGATTGTATGCATATCGTTTCAGTATTTGTGGCTTGATTGTATGCATGTCGTTTCAGCATTTGTGGCTTGATTGTATGCATGTCGTTTCAGTATTTGTGGCTTGATTGTATGCATGTCGTTTCAGTATTTTTGGCTTGATTGTATGCATGTCGTTTCAGTATTTGTGCGGCTTGGCTGTATGAATATAGCTGATGTGTATGTGTCTTGACTAATTTGTTTCATTGTATGTGACACGTAGTTTGCTTGATGTGCCTGCCGTGTTTTTCTGTAAGCATGAAGTTGACTGTATGCATGTGACATAGTGATAACATTATGCGGCTTAACTGTACGTATGTGGATTGACTTCATGCATGAGGCTTGACTGTACACACATGGTTTTACTGTATGATGCATATAGTAGATGGGGCAGGACTTGATTACTCATTTTCTGAACACCTGGTGTCTTACTGATTCGCAGTGATCCATTCGTATAATTGTCACCCTCTTCGTGAACACCTCGTGTTACATCAGTAACCCATACGAAACGTTGTCAACGTTATTTTGCGTTACGCCAGGGCTCCAGAAAAGGGCCGTATCGGCGTATGTACGGATAGAAAATATGCATGATACGGTAGGAAATAATTTCGAAAACGTAGCAGATACGCACCACAGCAATGGTGTACGGTGTTAGAATCATTTACAGACGTATTTATCTGAAACATTATTGTTTTATTGTTTATTGACCTGTTTACACAATAGTAGCAATGTTGTGGTGCATATATGAAACGAAACACAAGATTACTGATACTCTATTAAATCCCATTCAGTACTCTTAAGGTTTTCCAGTACTCCTGTATTGAAAAAATAAGGAGTACGTACTCCTGATGTTGAAATATTATCTACCCTGAATTACACCTAATGGTTTCTGCGGAGAACAGAGACTGCTTCATCTCCAGTTTGGCTTCAGGTTGATGTAAGTTGTATTAGCATCTTGGTGACATTATATCATAACGTATGTATGTTACTGGCCCCACGGCTGTACATCTATGTGAAATGAGTGTCCACACACCTGCATGTGGACAACTCAACGAATGCTAAATCTGACTCAATGACTCATATACCTATGTTGAGTCACTGTTGATAAATATTGTAATCAGAACCTACATGCGCATGATCTGGCACGTGTTGTGGTTGGATTTAAAAGCTGTGATTTTTTTATACTCTGTATCACTCTGTAAGTGTTTAGTGTGTCAGGTTTTTATGAGTTCACGCAGGACAATTGTTATACGCTATACGTATACACTTAGGACTGATTCTATCTGATCCAGTCGCTACCAGCACAACTGTTACACAGCTAAAGTGTATCAGCAAAACGTTAAATTCCGATACTTATCATTCCTTCTATACAATAACCTGGACCTTTTATCGGCGCAGCTGGTGGCACCGTTTGTTTCATTAGGTGTTTTATTACCCGAAACAGATACTTGATCCGTGGATATGTTGTGTGGTATTGGTATTGTGTGTTGAAGCAGTATATTGCCTCTAACTCGGTATGTCGCGTCCAAATAAATCAATGGTGTTTTCTCTTATGAGCTATTATTGTAGTGTTCACGAATGTAATACGTATGATTTGTATCAAATATACCTTTTTAAGTATACACATAAAAGCTTTTTTCTATTGTTCCAACAATTCGGATATTTTACTTAATGTTATATGCATATAACGGTATATTTGTAACGGTATGCTTTTGCATACATTCGCCTGCTGAACGACGATTTTTATTTCGCGTTGGCTATTAAGGGATATAAATACGTATATCTCTACTTAACAATATGTGAGTTTTTACGAGTGTTCCCAATCCGAGATTTATCCTCTTGTTTGGTTTGTGTCCAATTAATATCTGTTTACCTCCACTGGTGTCCGATACATGAGCAGATTAAATAGGAGACCGCTGCCATGGGCAGACAAACTCCGGCAATCAATACGATACTATAGAAATACTCAGTGGCTAGACACCTCTACTGTTTCTAATCGCTCTAGTGTACTGTCAACTTAAGTACAGAACTACGGGAATCTGTATCATTTAATTATGAGGTGAACTGTGATCGCTCTGTATATCCATTCGTCTGATGTACAATGTTGGACATACGTTAATGTCAGTTTTTGTTAGTCATTGGATAAATGTGATTTGATAGTGTCCTCAAAGTAGCGGGTTGATAATTTAGTTAACTGTGGGGAAGTGACACGATTTTTGTTTGATTTTTTTGTTTGATGCTAGTCATAAAAAAACGTTTATGTTATCGAATCCGCTCCAGGGATTAATATCATGAGTATATATCCCCCGACGCCATGATGGTGTGTGTCACGCACTGAAGCAGGTCATCGACTCTGACCACAAATCCTTTCAGTCGCGAGGCAGTCATTACTGGCGACTTATTCTAACGTGGAGTCCCTACGGGAAGTCACCAGGATGTACAGATAGGAAGGATTTTGCCGTTGTGGGGATTATTAGACACAGGCTTGTGAGTAACAGGTGGAGAGAAAGGAGCAAATCCACAATAACATGCTGAACGGGCTTACGGTGTTTGGCTTAATGAGACAGAGGCAGTGATGTGGGTCTTTGGCCAACCTAAACAGCGTGTCAGCTAAAATACTGCGAGGCAGTTGAATGTGTGAAAAAACTCACATGATATGTTCGTAGGTGATTAATGGTTTTGTGGAACAAGCCAAGGTGTTCTGATGTCAGACCAATTATCAAAATCAAAGTAAATCTGGGCTTCGAGCACGTGCTCAGCAGATCCTCGAAAACCAGGGTACATAACTCTGCACAGCAAAATGCCTTGCCTTGGTCCAGGTTTCCTGACCGAATCTTAGTGTAGTGTAGTGCAGTGCAGTGCAGTGTAGTGTAGTGTAGATAGAAAATCATATTAGAGTGATTCTGGCATCATAGAGTACACAGAAGCCATTATTTTCCATG